ATTTAGCTTTAGAAAGATTTTGCCTCCCATTCCAGGCATTCCCATGGAATCCAGATATCTTAGAGCAAGGAGATCTCACCTGAGTGCCAGGCAGCCTCACACTGCTGGGGCACTTCCCAGGCATATTTAGAGCATTTTCATAAGATCTTAATAATTTACATTCCTCACATAGAGAAAGAGTAGTAAGACAGAGATTAGAGTAGGTAATTTGTACCCCTTGAGATCAACCTGGCTTTGCCAGGTTGGAAGTGCCAGAGGTGGGAAGAGGGGGATCTTCCCTCCCAGCCCAGGTTTCTGGGGCACAATGGAACAAAGCTAACAAGGAATTTGACAGCCCTAATGCTACTTTGTGCTTTTCCCAGGAGGACAAGGCAGATGGAATTCAAGTATTTCAGGCTTAAATCGGAAAGTTTACCAGACAGATGGTTGGGATCACATGGCTGTGAGCTGGGAGTCAGCAGGGCCAGCAGAAAACCTTCTCTGCATTAACACTAAGAACTCGGAGCTCCCCAGGAGTGAATTCAGAGTGAATTCAACTGCTGATTTCCAGGGATCTGGTTTTCCCCAGGATTTCTGTTCCACCAGCCTCAAACCCTGAATGGGATCTAGCTCAAACATGCTAAACTGGAATTAAGTCTTCATTCCTCTATAAATAGGGAGTGCAGCCTGAGTAGAATCAGCAGTGGCTTTACAGGCTCAGAGCTCTGGCTCTCTTGGCTGGATCTCTGTGTTGCTTTTCTCTCTTTGAGCTGGTTCTGCCTCTGTGTGTGTGAATTCCTCCTGCTTAATTACAGCAAGCTGGTTTAGAACCTACTTTGAACTGGATTTTGAAGCAGGCTTTTTATCCCCACTGGAAAATGGAGCTCCAGCTTAAGCACTTGTTAGATGGTCTAAAGTAGGGGATAACAAATCCTTCCAGAGCCAGGTACCTGAGATCTCTCCTGTCCAGAATCCTTGGATGCCAGAACCCACTCCCTGTGCACACTGGTGCCTTCCTGCTTTATATATCTAAAAATTGTGTTTTAGCCCTGAGGATAAACTTCCAAACAGCTGCAGGTTTCTAACAGAGTACTGTGGCAAAGGAGAGGGATTTCCCTGTGCCAAGACCTTCCCTTAGTAAAGACAAAGACAGATTTCTCATACTCGTGCCCAGCAAGTGCACTCCAGCCCAAATGAGGCATTAATTATGGGGGAAATCTGCCATAACTTCTGTTGATGTAAATATTTGATGTGAGGCTGGACTTGCCCAGCAATGTTTCATCCACATCCATGGCAGTAAATGCCCCAGACTGTGGCTTTGTGCTCGAAGGAGGGATGAACCCAACTACTGTTTCCCACCTCTGTGTCATAAGGAAAGAGGCATCAGTTTGTAAATGCTGGATGAAAGCAGCTTCACTTCATTATCCTATTACAATAACAGAGTTTTTACAGGCTGTTTTGCTGTGCTGATCCAGTATTTTTAATAACTTCTGTGAAATTAGGTGGTGAGACTTCAGCCTGCTGCCTACCAAAGTCTATTCTCCCACATCAAACTGAGCGTGGCTGCATTTGGTGTTAATTAGAGCTCAGCCCAGGGACACATCAGGGGCTGACATTTATAAATTCACTTCAAAGACCTTATTTGTATATTTTTGCACAATACTCAGCATAACATACACATGACAATTTTCATCTGTTAAATTAGAACTCACTGCAAATAAAGCTCAGATCTTTCTGTTGTATCAGAAAAGAATTGAGAGACGTCTGATTAAGATCCTGTGGAGAATGACAACAAATTTAGCTTTTGTGTTATGATTTTTTCCACTACACAGGTAGAAATCCCTGCACATGGAACTCAGATTCTTCAGAATTGTATCAGAATAGAATTAGAGATCCTTGGCAAAAATCAGCTCTTCAGGCTCCAAGAGCAGCAAACAGAGTCTGATACCAAACCCACCAAATGTGAAGAGCAAAGGCAGAGCAGTTTTGAGGCCATGACAGCAATAAGCCCATCAGCCCTGCACCCCCAGTGGGGGAGCTGCCCCAAAGAGCCCCAAGGATCTGAGCTGTGCAAGCAGAGGTTGGGCACAGCCGGGTTTGCAGCTGAGCAGCCACCCTGACCTGGAGCAATAACTGCAGCAGGAAGGGCTTTGGGCAGGGGAGGTTTCCCAGATGAAGGGACTTTGTTGCTCCTAACCAGGGGCAGGCACAACAGGATTCCGTCCTGGAGCTCTTATTTGAAGCTGCAGTGGTTAAAGAGGATGAGGAGCTTGGGCTCTGGCAGTTTGGTGTGATTTCACCACCAGAGCTGGCTCCTTCCTTTCCAGGAGCTGCTGCAAACTTGTTGTTTGCTTTGGCTTCTCCCTGAGTTTCTGTCTCCCGGTGCTGTAAAGTCCAGTGTTGGATGCACCTCCCCTCCCTGCTGCTGCCAGCGCCAGCAGAATCTCCTCCCTGCAGCCCGTGCTGGGCTGGGCAGGGGCATCTCCAGCCCTTGGGAGCACAGGGATCGTATTCCCAGTGTCTCCATGCCATGGCTAAAGGGTTTGTGCTGGGAGTGCTGGCAGAGGGCACCTGCAGAAACCTGAACACATCCCCTGGGTTTTCTGTCTCCTTCAGGACCCATGTATAATACATATATACATTATCTATCTATCTATCTATCTATCTATCTATCTATCTATCTATCTATCATCTATCTGTCTGTCTGTCTGTCTGTCTGTCAGCTGTATACACTTGTCACATCCCTGAAAATGTTCAAGACTGGATGGGGCTTGGAGCAACATGGGGTAGTGCCCATGGCAGGGGGTGGAATGGGATGAGCATTAAGGTCCCTTCCAACTTAAACCAATCTGTGATTCCATATAGATTTATGTATATTCTGTAGAACAGTATATGTATACCTACATATTTGATATAATTGTGTGTGTATATATACACATATTTGATAAAATAGTGTACTGTAGTAGTGTTAAGGTAAAACAAATTAAGAACGGGGTTCAGCTTGGGGCAGATGTTTCTGTGGAAGATTTAAAACTTCCCTTAATGTTCCATTTCTGGAGGCTGACAGGGAGCTGACCAACTCCCCGAAGTCCTCAGCCAGCACATTCCAAGCTCTGCAGACCCAGGGGTACTGGCATCCCAACCTTGCTGTGGGAATTTGGGGAGCAGCATCCTTCTTCATGAGAAGGATAAGGGGAGCAGGCGGGCCTGGCATGGGGGTGGAAGGAGATGAGCTTTAAGGTTCTTCCAGCCCAAACCATCCTGGGATTCTGGGCTGCTTCCACAGCAGTGTCTGTGGAGCTGCAGGCACAGCACAGAGGGATGTGATCTGGGCTTCCAGAACCTTCCCAAGGGATGTGTTGGCTCTGTGGGCCCTGCCACAGTGAGGAGGTTGGCTCCCTGCTGCACCAGGAGCACTTCCAGAGCACAGGGGAGCTTCATCTGAACAGGAACCTTGGACACTGCTGCAAAACCAACACTGTGAGGACTTGGGGTCGTTCCAAGGTGGTCTGTGGTAGAATCATGGAATCAGTGAGGTTGGAAAAGCCCTCTGAGGAATCCAAGCATTAACCCAGCACCACTGTGCTGTTGGGTCTTAACAGCTGGGGAAACTGATGCACAAAGCAGGGAGCAGAGTCTGGTCTGACATTCCAGAGCAGAGTTCCCTATGGAATATGGGTCTCTTCAGACCCAGCCTCGCCATTCCTGATCCCCCAGCTCTGCTTTGGGCACAGCAGCAGCAGCTGTTTACAGCCCCCAGCCCTCCACTCACACATCACCTCCAAATTCACCGCCGAGAATTCCCAACACTTCTGGGAAGGGGCTAAAATACCCTGCTAGCACGGGCCGTGCCAAAACCGAGCCACTAAATGCATTGAACTCTGTGTAATAAAACACGGAACAGTCCCAATAAATTCTTGCTTTGCTTTTCAAGGTTGCGGCGGTGGCCCTGCTGATCCGCAGGTGAGCGGTGCCATCCTGTGGCAGCGGCACAGAAAACACCGCAGGGATCGCTGCATCCCTGCATCCCCGATGCTCCCCAGCATCCCCACCTGGCTCCGTGCTGGGCTGTCACAGCGGGTTAACGTGCTGATTTTGCACAGCTGCTTGGGATGTGGTTGCCCAGGAGAGAGAGAGCTTAATGTTTTCTGTGCTTAAATTTGGTCAGCAGCATAAAAAAAAGGAGACAGCAAGTGAGTCTGCCTCATCTCCAGCCTCCCCTCGCTCATCCACCTCCCTGAGCAGGCAGAGTTTATGTGCAGCAGTGAGTTTGCTCAAGTGCAAGTGTCCCCAGGCAGATGCTTCCACCACAGGAATGTGCCTGAGATTGGCCTCAGGAATTATCTTTTTGTGTGTATTCGAGCAGCCACGGAGAGAGCTTCAGCCTTCCTCATTCTTGTTCTTGATGCTGTCACAGGGTTAAATGTGATTTAGGGCCCGTTCTGGTGATGTCAGAGGTTCCCTGATCTGCAGCAGGAGAATTCACCAGAGGATTTAGGAACTTGCACAATTTCCCTCTCTGCTTCCCTTTCTGTGCTCACATTCCTGGCCTGGTGCTGTATTTTCTCCCTGCTCTCCTGTGGGGAGTAGGAGCTGGGCCAGCCCCACAACCGTGGATCAAGGCAGGGGTGACTTTAGGGGGGATAAAATGAAGTGGAAATCCTGGCTGTTCCCAGTGGAATTCCCAAGGGTATGACCACCTCAGTTTGTCCGGGGACAGGGAAGAGGCTGGGACACCTCTGCTGCCACCGCCTGTGGCTTTGCTCACTGCAGACTCATTTGTGGGTGAGCAGCAGAGTTTCCAGGGAATTGTGCACAGCCAGGAGCTATCCAGGCATTCTCTAGCAGCCTGTGAGCTGTGGTCTGCCACAATCCAGCACTGCAAGTCAGTAGAAGCATCTGAACAATGTGGCAGGGGTTTTTGTTATTATTATTATTATTGTTGTTGTTATTATTTATGGGTGTCTTTTCACCAGTTCCTCCCAGAGAATGTGTGCAGACAGACAGCAAACCAGCACATGTCAGTTTACCAAACGCAGTTATTTTAATTCATGGCCCTTTCTCCAGCAGTCAGCAGGATGTCTTATTCATTTGCCAGCAGGAGGGTAAATCTATTTCAAAATGATTGAAATATTATGCACAGCTTGAACGAATGTTTAAAATAAATACAGTAGAAGAAACATGTTGTTTGTGAAACGAGAAGATAAATTATGTTTAGTGCAGACACATTATTCCCAAGCCTGGCTGCTTGGCTTTCCCAGCGAAATCCTTTAGGCCTTAATCCAGTAGGAATGTTCTGATTTACTCTCCTGAAGGGGCAGGACTTTCTCCTCAGACCTTTGCAGGGAATGGGCCAGGCTGTGGGCTCCACGGTGTGTCCCAGGCTGTGGCAAGGCCTAAAGGGGGGACAGGCACCCCACAAGGCTTGAGCAGAGCTGGAGAAGCAAGGCCCTGGCAGGGTAAAGAGCCCGGCCTTTGTCTTCCAGTATCGGCACTGTGGTTCCCTCCAGCCACTTCTGCTCAGTAAGATTAAATTTATTTTCATCCTCTTAACTGAACTTTCTTTTAATGGCAGCAGGGGTGACAGCCCCCAAAATAGCTTTCCTCTGGAGTGTGTCCCGAGTGGCCTGTCCCCGATAACCTCCTTCCCGGCCGGGCCTTTATCTGCCGGGTGACAAGCAGCTCTCCCTGGACAGCCAGAGGAAATTCCACTCGTTGTTGTGCTGCTGCTGGGCTCTGCCTCGGCTCTATCTCCCTCTGCTGCGGGACTGCCAGGGCTTCCTGGGGTGACAACCAGCGGGAGGCTCACTCCGGGATTCCCAGTATGATCCTGCTCTAAGGGAGCCTGATAGCTCAGCCATGGCCCTGTCAGCTTTGGATCCATCTCCTCGAATTTCCTCTGGTCCCGGATCCCTTCCAGTAACACCAAAATATGCAAAAGAACCCATCACCCCTCCCCTGGTGCAGCTTCCTTGCATTGCAGGTTCTGAGGCAGGTGTGACTGTCAGGAGAGGGAACATCAGGCAGCCACCCCTGCAGGGGGATCACATATCTTCTCTTTGAGCTGTGGTAGCACTTCATACTTTTAGAAATGGAACAACACATCCTCATGCTCATGCTGCAGAGACAGGGCAAAAGGTTCCATTGCTGGGTCGGGAAGAACATTGAGGTTTAGGATTTTGAGGAGGCTTTCCAGGGCAGTACCTGGAAGTGCATTGTTTAGGGACCCTCTAAGCTTTGGAGGGTGTGCACCACCTCTTAGGCACTGCAGAGCATTTGATTTATTTTTCCCACTAGCACTAACATCCCAAACCAGTAATTAAAGTAGGAATCTTCCCTGACTCCCCATTGCACAGCTGGGCTTGATCTTTCAAATGGATTTCCCTTGGACTTGCTATTTTTGTCCAGTGGGGACACTTTTTCTGCTTCTATTAAACATGCATCTCTTCTCCCAGGGTAAAAGATGTAGCTTGTAAGCCTTGAGCACTGACAGGTTCACTTTTTGGGGACATTACATGCAGGGAACTGTACAGAAAGCCTTGGAAGGAAATGCAGCAGCAGCTCTGGAAAGATGGGTTTCTGTACATGGCCACTGATTCTTTGATGTTTGTTTTGGAGGATCAAAACTGTCCTTCCAAGCTGATTATATGAGGGGAGCTAAGGTGCTGTGGTGATTTGGATTGTATTTTTTATATTGTTTGCAAAGTTGCAATCCAGCACAATTAAAATATCAGGCAGTATCTGTGAGTTACCTCAAAGGTCTCACTCCTCATTCTCTAGTCACAGGTCTGGCTCTGGTGCAGCCACTTCTGATGTGTTATGTGAGCAGAACTTTGTGTGCTGGCTGACCCTTCCATCTAGAGGTGGAGAAGGGTGCACTGAGGAAAGATTGACACAGCTGAGAATTGTCTTTTAAAGTGCTTTAGTGACATAATTGTTCATAACTTTGCTCTCTGTACAATGTCAGTGTTTATGTCCCATGTTACAGATGGCAAATTGGAGATACAGAGTAAAGTGATTTGTTCTGACCCAAGAAAGGAGCTCCCAGTACACTGGGACCGGGACCTGAGCAGTCTTGGTTCCCAGAGTTTGACTTCCATACTCACATTGTGTTCATTTGCAGCACAACTTTCTCTTGTCGTCATCTGAATTGCTGAATTCTCCCCTTCTTTTAAAACCACTTAGTTCAGCAGCTTTTAACACTATTTCCATTTTACCACAGCATTGAAAATTGATGAGCTGAGTTACATCCCTGGGAAGAGTTCCCAAAAACTCTTTGGCCTGCCAATAGAACTCTCAGTAACAGAATGAATTGGGGGGGGAAAAAAAAACCAGAAACCTGACTGTGAGGAAGTAGAAATTCACTAAAAAGAATTGAATTTTCTTGTTGCATTTATGTAAAAATTCAGCCACAGAAAATGTTCAGCACTACTCAGCTCTCACCAAGCAGGACTTTTTTCCTGTAGGGATGCATGTTTGGCTGTGGGGAGATGAACAGTTTGGAACCAAATCTGAAGCCAAATGTTGATAGAAGGCTCCTGGACTGTGTTTTTGTTCGAACAACACCTTTGTGCTTTAAAGGGGAAGATAATCTCTGTTTGCATTGGTGATTTTTTTGAAGGATACATCCAGAGCTGGGAATTTCCTCTCTTCTCCCAGTGGAGTGCTTTCTGCCAGGTGTGAAGGAATCAAGTGTTCTGCATCTCCCCAGCTTTCTGGAGAGTTGTCTTCAGATGTTTCCCTATTCCCCATCCAGACAGCTCTTGGAGCAGTGAGGAGCAGCTGAAGGCTGGGACAGTTGGGAATAAACTGCAAAATTTCTTTTGTCCCAGAGTGAGTTTCTGCTTCTCCTTGGTTTTTCAGTTTTCATTTCCATTGGGCTTTTTTTTCCTGAAAGGAATCAAAGGCTTTCAGAGAGGAGAAGTCACATTTTGGAGTTGGAGATGCAGCAGCTTGGCCCAAGCTCTGTCTTCTCTATTTCCTAATCTAGTCCCATCCCCTACTGCTCTGTCCTGCAACTGTACTAGCCCCAAAGAAAGAGGGAAGGAATTGTTTCAGAGCATTCAAAGGTGCTCAAGTTCCAGAGCCAGAGTCTGTTTTCATAGAGGACTTTGGCAACCAGAAATTTGTTTGAGGTCTTGGCTCCTAAGTCCCTTGGGTTTCTTTAGCTTTGCCTTCTGTCTCGCCTTTTCATGTTGTCCTTCCAGCAGCTGTGTATCTTTAACATCCTAAAATTTCTTTCCATCTTTTCAGGCTTTTTAACACCTTTGCATGGCCCTGAAAACTTCGGTGAGTTGGACATTCCAACATAGCAGCTTCATTAAATGTCCTATAAATATAAAAATATAAATTCTATGAAATATATATAGTGTAGTTAAATAGTGATCACTGGTATGCTGCTCCTCTTTGATTGGAGGCTTTTGAGAAAACAAATGTTGGGTTAGAGCAAACCCAAACCTGTGTTTCTGTTGTGTTTTACTGAGTTATTTATTAATCCTCTCAAGACTGAATTCTCTCTGAAAACTCAGTCTCATGAATACCTGGTACTACATTTTTGTGTCACTGGTTTCATTGACTTCAGACAAGACAAAGCCAGGATTGTCATAACCTTTCTTCTCTTTGGCTTTGGCTTCCTTCTCATTGTAGAGACAGAAGGCACAGTGGGGAGTCTCCACGGCCACTGTCTTGCTGAAGTTCTGGAAGTCCACTCTGTATTTCCCTTCTTTGGTCTTGGACACGATGGGAGCGAAGCGGTACCCCCAGAGCACCTCCTCGGGGATGTAGGACGTCCTCACCTGGCAGGTGGCACTGGTGGCCTCCACAGTGCCATCCAAAAACACCACCAGCTCAAAGTCCTGCTGCAGGAGGGTTTCTGCTGCCATGTGGAAGAAGGGGCTGTTCTTGTCTATGATGTGATAAATGGTGAGGGGTGAGATGAAGAAGAGATTCTCATTACCAGCATCCACTACGAATTCAATGTTGACCTGGTCGAGGATGATGGTCTCCCCCTCGGGGGTGATGGTGGTCTTCAACAGCTTCCCATAGATGTGGCTCCCGATCAGCAGGCTCTTGCGGAGGTTGGCCACGCGGATCAGGAGGCACAGCTTCCCTCCACGCTTGCTGATGACAGCGTTCTTGCTGAATGTGATGGTCTTGGCCCGGTTCTTGGACCTGGAGATCTTGGCCAGGATGGCCCCACACATGAAGGAGTTAATGATGACACCCAGGATGGACTGGAAGATGAGCAGGAAGATGGCAGTGGCACACTGCTCTGTGACACACCTGAAGCCATACCCAATGGTCACCTGGGTTTCCAGGGAGAAGAGGAAGGCTGAGGTGAGGCCGTTGATGTTCTCCACGCAGGGGGTGTGGTTGATGGAGGGGTTGAACTCAGGCAGGTCTTTGTGGATGTAGGCCACGACGTACCAGAGCAGCCCAAACAGGAACCAGCTTCCCAGGAAAGCTGAGATGAAGATGGTCATCTTGTACCTCCACCTGAGGTCCAGGATGGTTGTCCATATGTCAATCAGGAAGACAAACCTGGATTGTTCCACGTTGCCAAATTCGATGTTGCATCTCCCATCCTTGGAGACGAGCCTGGCCCGGCGCCGGCTGCGCTCCCGGAGGTGGCTGGTGAAGCGTTCCCGGAGGTAGCTGAACATCCCCACTGCTGACAGGGCTCTGCAGGGAAAGAAACAAGGGCCAGTGTGGTTCAATCTCTACCTGTGGGCCAGGGGGAAAGTCTGACACAAGCTCAAGACACTTGATTAGGACAAAGTTATACCATTTGCATATTTTCCCATATTTGGAGGGGAAGAGTTCCAGTAAGCTGGTGAGGAAACATAGAGCTCCTTGCCTAAGGAGCATTCCAGTAAAAAACAATCATTTAGGCTTGCTCAATAAACTCTGAGTCAGTCAAGTGTTAATATTATCCTGTGCTCAGCTGTGTAAGTAAAGCCTGGAGCAGCAATAACTCCATTGTGTGCATGTGTGTGTGTAAAACTGCTGGGTTTAGAGACCTTTCAGCCTTTTAGGAGATGAATCCTGGTCTGTTGGTGCAGTTTTGTGTGTATCTCAACCTTAGGAGACCCTGGATGAAATGTGGATAGGAAATTTAGGGACAAAGGGGAGCAGATGCAGAAGGCATAATTAAGCCAGATACACAGTTATTTTCAGCGTGGTTAGAGATGTGGTTTGGAGGTGTGAAATTCAGATGCTAGAATCACACAAGCATCTCAAATAGGATTATTAAGTGAGAACAAAAGAAAAGCTCAAACTCCAGCAGGAGAATTTGGGTGTTTGCTCACCACAAAGGTGATGCTAAGACTAAGAGTGGATTTCTGAACCTGATCCTTTAAAGGAAAGTGTAGCTCTCTGTTCCTCTTATTTAGTCCTTTATGACTGACCATGTTAACAAGAGGCCCAGGGAGTAAGAGTCATTGATGGAGAAAATGCTACAGATGTATTCAGACTGGAATTTGGATCAACCTACATCTGAAAAGTTCCCAGTCTTAGAGTTACTCAGACACACAGGTGTGGGGAAAGGCTGATGCACTGCGGAGTCAGACACTGCCTGGGATATTCATGGACCATCCTAGGGCCTGATTTTGACCCAAAACTTAGGAGTGTTCTTAGAAATAATTGATTCCTTAGTTTAGCACCCTTGAAGCATAAAATGTGTTTGCTTGCTGAGAGGATGTTAGAATAGTGCACAATGAGCCCTCCCTGGACCCATGTGTGCCTTTTTATTCAATTTTTGTTGAACAAAATCCTTCTCAAGTGGCTGAATGAGCCGTGTGCTGTGATCATGTGTCCTGGGGCAAAATGCTGCAGCTTCCAAACAAAGTAAGAACTTGAGGGGAAAATATTCCCAGTGCTGACTCACACAGGGGGGTATTCTGAGCCTGCAGGGGCTCTGAGGAGGAGGATCCCCAGCCACACAGAGTGAGAGCTTGGGGTTTCTGCAGATGACGTGGGGATGCTTTCTTTGGGAAAACCTGTGAGTGCACTGAAATCAGGAGATGTTGAGGGTTTTGTGTTTCTATTGTTACTTTACCTTCCCTTCACAATAGGAAAGGGCAGTAAAACAAGCTTAGAAATTACTTTTTTAGAGCAAGCTAAACATGCTGCATCCTTATCTCAAACCCTGCCTCCTATCACCAGCCCACCCAGTCTTCCTTCTGGTCAGCAGCAAAATGCTTGGGCTCAAATTGGTGGCAAGTAGACTGCACAAATTTTGCTTGATTTTATGTGCTTAAGTATTTGTGGCAAGAGCTGTTGACCTCTCCTAAACTCCAATTCCATATATCCAAAAAGAGGATAATCCCAAGTGAGCCGCTAGACACTGGTGGGAGTCTATTGTGAAATTTGTCTCATTTAACTGTAGCCATTTAAACCCTGGAGAAGTGTGTGTGCCACTTGTACAGCTGACACAGGAGATGACCAAGTGCCCCCTCTGAGGGTCCCCTTGCCACCACAACACCTTTATGAAGTCAAGAACTGCTGCTTGGCAATGTCCCTTTACCCTGTAATATTAACTTAGAGAAGCTGCCTGATGTCTCAGCTGGCTAAACCATTGGACCCAGTTCCAGGCACCAGAAAACACCTTCACATGTGTCAATCAATAGTAGAGAAAATATTAAATGATCAAGGACAGAGTCTAAGGACAAATTAATTGCATTTTGTAAAGCCAGAAGTAATTCTATTATTTAATGTCCTTGTTAGTATCAGCAGCCCTAAGAATGAATTTATTTCTATGTCTCTTACAGCTGCCTTCTCTCTGCACTTGGACTGAATCACCTTCCTCCCCTGCTCAATAAAAGAAAGAAATGAAGGTTACTTTGTACTGTACCTTTTCACCCTTCTGCTGCTGAATTTCTTGGTTGCAAATGGAGCTGACAGAGGTTAAACTTTAAGCCAGTATTCAAGGAAAGAGGAATGAGGTCACACTTTCCTGAACAATTCTCAAGTTTTATTTTCCTGATATTCCTTTTATTTCACTTCTAATATGTCCATAATATGTAGTTTGAGCAGAAATAAAATATTCCTGTGTAACACATTATTCCAATAATTTTTCCATGGTTTAGACTTACTGTTCAAAAGCACCCAGCTTCAGCTGGCTCTGTGTTCATTTTGTCCCTTTCTGCAGGAATGTGAGCACTGGCTTTACCAGAATGGCAGAGGCAAATTTTGGGATGCCTCACCTTGTACACTGTGAGCTGCACATGCACTCCTTAGGCACAGAGGGGCTCCTAACCTCAGGGATTGGTGTGAAGGGGAGAAGTCTGCAGGAATTCTGGTTTCTAATCTGCCCATGTCCTCACAGCACGGGTCATGATAAATTATTGTCACAGTTCTGATCCAGCCTCCACTAGAAACCTCCTGGAATTTGAGTGAGGATCTGGACATGTAACTGAACAGGTAACAGCCACAGAAGAGCTGAGAACAAGATGCTCAGCCTGGATCCTTGAAAACAGGTCCCCAGCTCCACCATTCTTCTCCTGCCTCTTTAAATCATCCATGGCCCCTTCTGAGGCTCCTTTACAAGCCCTGTCTAAGCTACCCCCGAGCAGAGCAAAGAGGCAGAAGAATTACATTTCTCTTCAGGAAGGATGACAAAGGAATTCTACTTTTAACAAATCCCTTGCCCCCACACACAGCTGAAATGTGTTGATTTGCTTCAGCAGGAGGAAAATTCCCTCCTGGATAAGCATGCTGCGAGTATATCACTGACTGTCTGGAGGAGATTATATAAAACAAGTTATATAATACAGCAATTAAAGGCCTTTTAATTCAAATCAGCAAAGGTGCCTGACTACATCCTAGCTAATGTTTACCAGGATATGTTTTCTGTTGGGCCCAAATAAACAGGGCACTGCTGTCTGTCTGGAGTATGGAATTCTGTGTTGTGGGACTTGGGGAAGGTGCTGCTGTCCCCAGGCACAAAAGTGTTTATAGAGGGTGCACTGCTCCAGTTCCTGCACAGGAGGACATTCACCAATAAAAACTCCATGAATAAACATCACCTGTCAAGGTTAGCTGTGAAAACAAGGAGGTCCCACTTCCCTGGCCCAGTCTCATACTTTCCAGTGGTCACCAGAGGAAGCAGAAACTTTCATGTTTCCATTCTCTGCTTTCCAATCACTCCAGCAGTGCCTCCATCCCAAATATCTGAGAGCTGTTACCTGTATTTCTGCCTGTTCTCTGCAGCCCTGCAAGTGGATGACATCAATCCTTGCAGTTCCTGAGCAGCTGGAGTTCCTCTGCTCCCTCAGGAATGTTATTGAGTGCTTCTCTTTGCATTTACTTCCTTTCAACTGGTCTGTTTCGAGAAAAATTTTTGGATGTGGAGGGTAATGACATTCAATTGCTCCTTGGGTAAGTTTTAGTCCAGGGAACTGGCTTTAATCCCAGCCACGTGCAGCCCTTGAGGAGATCAGATGGGGAAGGAAGGGAAAGGTGTTGAGTGTTTGACATTCAACCTGACAAGAACAAGGTTCCATCTCCTGCTCTTTCCGTGATGTTGTGGTGTCTGTGGCTCCACACTCATTCCCTCCCTGGCAGCAGTGGGTGTGGGAGCCAAGATGGCACAACGGGATCATTAGGGGGAGACAGAGCAGCTCCCTGAGCCCACAGCCTGCCGTAGAAATACATCTTTGTTAGGGATTCAGAGGAAGTTCTAAGTAGCTTAAGTAGAAGAAAGGGGATACAGAGTAAAAGGATTATATTTTTTTTCAGTCCTGTTCAGCTCTTTGCAAAACTCAGATCTTCTTTCAGTCCTTTCTATGTTTTTCTTTTTGTTGAACTTTCTCTGAACAAAGTATGTGAGATATCCAATCCCTAATACTTTATCAAATCCATTTTTATTAGAATTGCAAACTCTAACACTTACTCTCATGGTGTATTATCTGCTGGCTGCTTCACCACCAAGCCCTTTGGAGAGGAGAGCTCATTTGCCCTTTGCCAGCTGCCCTGAGCAGAGCAGGAATGAGCCTGGATAGGATGGAGAGCAGGAATGAACCTGCTGGGATGGATGGAGAGTAGGAATGGGCCTGTTGGGATGGGATGCCCCAGGAATGGGCCTGTGGGAAGGGGATAGCAGCTTCCCCATTCTGTCTTGTTGTTTGTATCAAAATCAGAATCAAGGACTGTCACAGAGAGCTGAATCAATTAGGAGTGGAAGAAAATCTAAGGTCCCTAAAGCAGCCAGCTGGCCTTGGGGTCTGTCTGTACAGAACCTGATTTGAACCATCCTCTGAGCATCCTCCTGAGGGACACATCTGCCAAGGGACCAGACCTGCTGGCACTGGCAGGGTTCCTTCTTGGCCCTGGCAATGCCACCATGGAATATTTATCCCTGGCAGCAGCTTGGAGTGCTGAGCACTGTGGCTGTGCCTCCAGAGTGACGCCTGAAATGCCAGTTCCATGTGGGAAATGTGATCCTTCCATCCGGCTCAGTGCTAAGCTGGAGTCTTGTCACAGCTCCAGTCCAAGTGACTGCATTTGCCTAAAGCCCAAGTGGAATTTCAAGTGGATACCCCAAAGGATTTTATGCCCTACCTTACCCTCTCTCCTGCTAAACAAAATTACTGTGAGGTGCTCGAGAGAGGCAGAGGGACACCTGCCTGGGGGCTGGGCACCCACTGGGCATATCCACTGAGAAAATGGCATATCCTTGGAAG